ATAGACCAAAATCAGGATTTTCCCTTTTTGTCTTGTGATTTTGCACCTTCCTTCCACTTTTGGGGTTCACCAACTGTCCTTTGAATGATTGTAGACCTGTTTGAGCTCAGAAAAAACCTAATCTAAACAATTTACAAGAATTTAACAAACCAAACTATTACACCGAAAGTGTGTAATTTCCGAAATACTAAACAACCAAAACTAACTAAAAACAAATAAACACACGGAAATTACAAACGTATCAGTTGCTAATCTATCACTTTTCACTTATTATCCTACCTTTGTTATCTTGCTATAGAATTTTTAAATCTATATGTCTCTGCAATTGACATACTCGCCGTGATCTATTAAATCGACCTATTTTTTTGTCAAAACTTTCATTCTGTTTTTATGTTTACTTTTTGTTTTTTCAGTTTACTAAATGTGAATGGCAACAAAGAACAATAAATAAAATAAACAACCAAACTAAACATACTAATTGGCTTCAGAGAAAATATTAGATGAGGAGGGCTTTAGAAGTTGTTCGGTTCGTCTTATTCTTATTACTTATTGTTTATTCCTATATTATTTAGATCAGATCAGATCAGATCGTTAAAATTTAGATCAGATCAGACAAATTCTGATCTGATCAGATTAGAAGCATTCAGATCAGATCAGAAAGATTCAGATCAGATCAGACGAGATCAGAAACATTCAAATCAGACCAAAAACATTCAGATCAGATCAGACTCATTCAGATATGATTTATCACTTTATTATTATTATTATTATTTTTATTATTATTATTATTATTATTATTATTATTATTATTATTATTATTATTATTATTATTATTATTATTATTATTATTATTATTATTATTATTATTATTATTATTATTATGATAATTATAATAATAATGACAATAATAACAATTATTATTATCATATTTATTTTAATATTATTATTATTATATTATTAATAATAACAATAATTTGTACATTATTATTATTGTTATTATAAGTAGTAGTAGGAGTATTATTATAAATATTATCATAATTTTAATAATTATTTTATTATTATAATTATTTTAATTATAATACTTCCTCCGTCCCTTAAAACTTTGCCAAGTTTGACTGACACGCGAATTAATATAGGGGAATATGTGTGGTTGAGGTTTGTGCAAAGGAGAGAGGATTAATTGGAACCACAAATCCTTACTTAAAAGGGAAAGTGACAAAGTTAGTGTGACATACAAAAAAGGAAAGTTGGCAAAGGTTTAAGGGACGGAAGGAGTAATTATTATTATAATTATAATAATTATAATAATAATAATAATTATACTGATTAATTATAATTATAATTATAATTATACAAATAAATATTATAATTAAATATTATAATTATAATTACAATAATAGTTATAGAAATAATTATTATTAATAATATAATTATAGTTATTATTATAATTATAGTAATAGGTATAATTATTATATGTTTGATTTTAATTAAAATTAAAATTGCAATTTTTCATAAGTATGACTATAACTATACTTATATTTAAATTATATTAATAATTATAATAATTATAATTGAAATTATAATTATAATTATAGAAATATTCAAATCAGATCAGATCATATCAGAAGGATTCTGATCATATCAGAAAGATTCAAATCAGATCAGACAAGATCAGACCAGATCAGAAAGATTCAAACTAGATTAGAAAGATTCAAATCAGACCAGATCAGAGAAATTCAGTTAAAAAAAATTAGATCAGATTAGATTAGAACTTAAAAAATTCAGATCAGAAACATTCAGATCAGACGAAGAGTACAACTTCTTAATGTATCAGCATCAAATGGAAGAAAAAAACTCAACAACAGACATAATACTTTTTTATTTGCAAAGATTGCTAGACAATTCTAACAAAGTGATCCAATATTACTTCTATTGTGCATAGTGGTTGTGTCTAAGATTCTAAAGGTCACTATTGTTTTCACAGCTATATTACCTATTTACCAAATCAAGAGTACAGACTGATTCTAAGGAAACCAAACTTAATGTTTTGTTTTGTTTCGTTTTAAACTAAAATTCCTGTTATGAATTTGAGTGGTAAACTTTCAGATTGGGTAATGTTTAATTTTTGGTTTTTAAAGAATTAAGTGTGAGCTCTTTATTGTATTTTTTCATTCTGTTTGCAGCCTCATTGTACTCTCTTCCTGCATTTAAATAAAAAGTAACTTCTAAAATAAACATTTCTTTTGATTTGTTACTAACAGCTGAGAACTTTGTGGAAGTGCAAGTAAATAAAAATTCCGGCCAAGAGTTTCCAAATTCTCAGAAAAAATAAGTTTTTGATGACTTATTATGTGTTCATAATAAACTTTTATTATCAGCAGCCATCCTCATTCAATTTCTTTACAACTTTCTGAAGCAAGTGAAGTGTTATGCTACTATGTTGCAAAAAAATCATCATCCTTTTGCACACAGGAGTTTCTAGGAGTTCTTGAAGGGGGAAATACATTTGTGTTGGATATAACAATATAAGAAAGAATAAGAAACGACATGATTTTTCGATTGTAGTCCAATATTTTGTTTCTGCTAAAACTCCGAGAGCTGAATAGAGAAGATAATTACAAGCTTAAAATGCACATAAAGTGTTGCTAAGTATGAGTAACACGGAGGTATAATTGAATAGGTATAAAGTGTACTCTATAAGAACTCCTTTGTTATACATGAAGTTTGAAATGTATATATGAACACCCAGAAGACTGCTATGTAGTGAACTAACGCTGCATTCTGTTAAGGATTTAAAATGTATGTTTGTTAGGGGGTGGGATTTGAGAAAAAACAGGGGAGAGTTTGAAGTTAGGCAGGTTATTAAAATGGTGGGAGCCAGTGAAGTAGCTGCCTCCGGATGTGTACAATCCAAAGCGAAGTTTTTGATTGTAAACATTTGTGTAAAAAGTTCTTAAGAAGCAGATCCGGAAATATCATCTATCTTGACACATCAAACAGGAAGGGAAAATAAAGAATGAGGGAACAGAAATTATCGGGGAAGTTTGTCTCTTTAAGTATGCATTACATTTAATTTTCTCTCATTTCTTTTGAATCATCGCTAAGCTTGAAGTTGCTTTGGAACAATTAAATTACTGTTCTTTCGGTTAGTTTTAACTTTAAAATTTGATGTTGCTGGTCTACTAGCTATTTGTTATGGGTGGGTAAAAAAGATCTCAGTTATTAAATCAGTTTTTTGAATTTACATTTCGTATTAATATAAGTTCGAAATGAAACAGTAGAAGAAAAAGATTATGTGTGATGATTCTTAACCGGACTCATAGATTATTTGTGATGATTCTTAACTTGGATGTAATACAAATATTTAAATACATCCAAGTTTTCAAGTTCTCGATTTCTTTTTTTTTTATTTGTCAAAACTTACAAGTAACAAGCATCGAGTTATATCTATTATTTAATTGTGGTTCTTTATCATTTGTTGTTTATTTCTAAACTATTTGTAGGTGGTCATATGCTTCTGAACCTGATCTTAAGGCTTAATGGAGGTGGACAAGGTCTTAGTTTATCATTTTGTAATATGTCAATCCAATAAAGTTTTTTTGAACAGATATTTAATACTACTTTATTATATATCTCATACTACTTTAATATGGAGTTTAATACTAATTTATTATATATCCCATACTAATTTTTTCAGCCAAGGGCAGTTTGGCGGCAATTCGGCTGCAGTCGTGCAGTAGAGTTCGGGCGGCAGGCAGCGGCAAATAAGAGATGTCCATGGCGGCAATCCAGTAAATGATGACTTTGAAATATTTAAGACAATAGAGATATCTATTGATCCACTTTATCTAGCAATTAATATCACATTACAAAGTTACATCAGTTTCAATTTTGTTTACGTTTATAGTTTATAAAAAACATCAGCTACTCAGCTAGCATTACCTCTTGGGAAAGGCAAAAAAAATATTCTAAAAGACCTTTCACTCAAAATGAAATAAATTAGCGTTTCCCTTTATTCATATATAGCACTCAATGCCAATTTCTCATAGGTGGAGAGAGAACCTTTAATGCTTAGAATATAATGGAGCTAAAATTGGCTCATACTTCATAATTTTGCAGTTTACTTGGTCTGTATTCTGTAAGCTACATAGATGTAAGATTTTTCAGTTTTGTGTTTTCACTCGGGCGTAAGGTCTTCGCTTTAGTTTTTCATTTTTATCCCGTTACATTCAAAATTATATCTTCCAATTTCCATTGCCTCAACTTCTACTCTGTATATAATATAGTCTTTGTGCATAGAGTTTAATTTTTAATTAGCTATTCGTCACTATTAATGTAGTTTGTACTACTTTTAGGTGTAAATATAAAACACAACATCGTTATGATTTTTATTAAACCATCATAATTAATGTGACAGTATGATTTATAAGTACATGTTTAATCCCATTTTGAACTTATGCATTAAAGCTAAATTCACTTTATACTCCCAGTTAGGGGCGGGCAAGAATCCCGGTCCCGTTGTCCCATTCCGGTATATCCCGAAACCGTACCGGTGTTGTCCCGTTCCGTTTGGGTCTCATTGATTTTGTCCTGCACCGGTCCCGTACCAGTTTAAAACGGGACGGGACCGGGACATTGGAAGGTTATCCCGAACCGTCCCGTTGTCCCGTTTGTAATAACTATATAGATTTTGTAGCATGTGCACTAGTGCAAAATATGTATTCTATAACTAGGTTTTAATATGGGTTCAATTAGAACCGTTATAATATATAGGCGCGGGGTCGTATTTATAAATAATGAAAGTTTGAGTAAGTTGAGCGGGTATCTTTCATAAATAAATAAAAAATTATTCGTATGGGACATTAAAGAACCGACATGAATCACTCTAATGGGGCCATTTTTCTAATTTCCGAAAACTTTAAATTCGTAATGGGGTATATTTTATAATTTTGAAAAGTACTCTTCAATGTCAATTGTCTGTAACCCTTATCAAAGGTGGAAACTAAAATTAAAACCTCCCAAGCGAACGAAGCAATTGACGACGCTCTTCAGCTCCCATGGCCAATTGAACGAAGCAAAACCTTCGCACAAATTGGGCCAAGAGAACGACGCTCTTCAGCTCCCAAGCGGCGCTGCTGCTCCCTCCCGACGAAGAAGACGACTCCTCTGCTGCTGACGAAGGCAACGCCACTGCTTCTCTCAACGAAGGGGACGCTGCCTTGCTGCTGTCGACGGCTTCTACGACTTCCGCACGTCGCTGCTACTCCCAACGAAGTCGACGACCGCTGCGCCCTGCTCCCAAGCGACGCCGCCGCTGCTCTCCATTAGCACTCACGCACGGTTTGCCACTCCGGGTAAATTCTCAATATTATTCTGATTTTTTTTTTCACTTAGCTTAGGCTAGCAGCGGCTGGTTCAGGGTTTTATTTTCTTGAAATTCAGAGAAACTATGAGTGGTCTAACATTTTAAATATGATATTTTCAAGAACAGAGAGTTGTTTTCCTCCTCTGCTACCCTTTGGTATAACACTTGTAAGTTAATTTGTGAAATTGAAGAATACTATTTTTAGGTTTTCAATATTCAATTGTGCCAATGCAGAAGGTTTTGTTTGGACTAAAAACCCTCTCAATTCTGTGGGATTGGCAACTCTCAGACAGACTTAAACAAAGAAGTTTGCAGCTAGGCAGGAAGGGTATTACAATGTCTTTAAAATAAGAAGTATAAGCAAGATTAGAGAGTTTAAACCATGTTTTCGTATGTTTGTTAATCATATCTTAGAAATCTGTAAATGTTTTGGTCATATAAAAAAAATTCACATATGAGTAGTGGGAAGATTGTTTATACAAATGTATTACTATCAAAGAAGCGATTTTGAGTGACAATAATGTTAATGGTAGGTTACGATGGTTTGCAAATGGCATATTCTTTGAAGTGATGTGTTGGGGTGGATATGATATCAACAAGTACTCATTCTGTACAAAGTTTCAAGATGATAAGAGTACCATGCAAAACAGCGGGGTGATGATTATTGCTGAAGCCATGCACTTTTCAAGTGCAAAAGATAAAAATCCAATAATGGCATCAATATCTTACTATGGTATTATTGATGAAATTTGGGAGATTGACTATACTGGGTTTAGGGAGGTTGTTTTTAAGTGCAAGTGGGTAGACAACAAGAATGGAGTGAGAACTGACTCGCTTGGTGTTACCTTGGTGAATCTGGATACGTTAGCATACACGGCGGAACCATTCATCATGGCAAACCAAGCAAAACAAGTGTTTTATGTGACTGATCCCTCTGACACGAAGTGGTCAGTTGTTCTCCAAGGAAAGCATCTATCAGTCAATGATGAAAATAATGATCTTGCTTCGGACATACTTGAGACCCCTTTATCTACATTAGTTCCCGATGTGATTGATGATAATGAATTGGATAATGTACAAGCAATCCGTGATGACCATAGAGAAGGATTATGGGAGATAGTTTCTGATAATGTTAGTTTACATTAGATTTTAATTTGCTTTGATTTTCAATAATGAATACTTATGCTAACCGAATTACTTTTTTATGTAAACAGATAGATGGATGATCAAGAGCAGAATGGATCAAACGATCAAGAGCAGAATGGATCAAAGAACAATTCTGGAAAGAAAAAAGGTAGAAAGGCCACTAGCTTGAAGGTTTTGATTCGTAGCCGTGCAGGTACTTCAATTTCCACATCTATTTATGATAAATATCTACTAAATAATAAATATCTACTATTGTTCTAAATGGCTACTCATTTTTTCATTGCAGCTAACCAAAAACTTCCTATCGAATTTAATGATCGCCAACAAGCAAGGGGACCAAACAAGAGTTTGTTTGTTAGTTTCGTGGCCTTACAAGGACGGATGAGAGCTAGTATACTAGTATCTGAATGGGAATCTATTGAGGAGGGAGTTAAAAATCAAATCTGGGAGGCTATTCAGGTTGCTATTTTCTTAATATTTCTTTTTTTAATGAATGACACACTTAACTGTCCACTAATGTGTGAGTGAAAGTACGTACAAACGTGTATCGAGGAAAAAGGATACTCACCATTGGAGTAGGAATTAGTTCCACTCAGGATATTACATTTAGAGTACTCATTCATTCTAAGTCTGCCTCCCATTTTATTCCCAAACTTACTCCCGGCTGTGAGCACTACTACTCTATCAGCTTTTCTTGAGTTTCTTGTTACAGCTGAAACAGAACTAGATGAAGCCTTACCTTCCCTCTCAGCATTTTCCCTTTCTTCAATCAATTGGTCATTGACTTCTATGGCAGAAAGTTTGAGTTTTGAAATAAACATATAGTAAATGAAAATTATGTTTTGTTAGTATAAAAGGGAATTATATGATGCAGGTTAGTTATTTAAAAATAAAACTGGTAAACAAAAAAATCATCTGGATGCAATGAGTATGAATGAGCTGCTTCTAATGGATGAAGGAAAAGCGATCACTTTAAAGCCTCAGGGATTTTACAGTTCTTTAAAAAACCAAGCATATTTTCTGTCTTACCTTTATCAGAAATTTTGGCCTACTCCCACAGATTTTCTATCTTTTGAACTAAGCATTCCATCTCTTTTCCAACATATTTTCTGCCTTTTGAACTAAGCATGTAATCTTCTTTAAACTAAACAAGAAACTGGTCCTTGTATAGCAGAATAACGAATAAAAATTGGAACTTTACCACAATAATAGAATATATCCTATTTGTTAATCCTTTTTAATATTTGGATATGTTAATGCATTGTAGCTCACTTTTGATGTCCCCAATACTCAAATATTGAGAAGTAGATGGGTGGCATATGCGGGTAGCCGTTGGGCGGGATTTAAAACCTATCTGACATCAAATTTCATATATGGAACTCGTTGTGGAGAGGATCCGACAGAGAAATATAAATGGATAGACGCTGAAACTTGGAAGCAATTTGTCCTGAGCCGGAAAGACCCTAAATTTCTGGTAGTATGCCTTACAGTATTTTCACTAAAATTTCACTTCAATATATTATTTATTATGTTTGTGGTATTTTTTGTAATAGGAGCGCAGGAAAAAAGCGCAAGAAACTCAGGCATATAATGATTGCCCCCACAGATTGTCCCGGGGGGGATATGATTTATTAGAAGAAAAACTTATGGCAGAAAAATTGAAAATGCGTGAAGAAGCCTCACAGTCAGATCCATCATTGCTATTAAATCCACCTTCACCTATCAGATTCTTTATTACACTGGTTAATATTATTTTTTACTATACGCTTAATTGTTTATATGACAGCTTGTTATTATTAATATTTTTTTGCCAAAGTTTATTTAAACATTTACTATTAATACTTTTTTTAATGCATGTTGATTTATATAAGTTTTTAATAAGGTCATAATGTGTATATTCCCTTGCTCAATGCTACTTTCTTATTTTTAAATTTACAGGTATTTGCACAAATTGTGTACTCAAAAGCACACTACACATCGGTATGGATTTTTTGATCCTCATACGATTCAAGATGTGGGAAATAAGCCTGATGACATCCGAAGTTACATATTGACCCACCTCGGTGAAAATAAGGAGTGCTATTTATTGCCATACTACTACCCGTAAGTACAAGTATACTTGATAATCACGATTTATTAATATATAAGCTTCCTCTAGGCTATCCTTTGTTTCTTTTGAAATCATGAATGTGTTTTGTTTGTCTAAATCTTGTGCATAACAGATTATTCAATCTGTTGGTTTAACTTAAAAATTCACTCTTTTCATTTCAGTAATCATTGGCAGTTGATCGTGTTGTGCCCGAAGCAGAACACAATTGTCTTTTTATGCTCATTGGGGAATAAGCCAAAGAAGAATATAAAAAGTCTTTTGGAGTTGTGAGATAGAACTTTAGATAATTGATTATTTTCATTGAAACTCGAAATTCTACAATTTGACTAACTTTTGTTTTATACTTATACTTTATTAGGGCAATGCAAGCACATCAGATGACCAAAAATAAAAGGAATTCTAAAGTGAAATGGATTCAACCAATGGTAATTATAACCATTTATATTTATCTGTATGTGTTATAAAAATTTTTGTGTTGTGAAATATTATAATCACTGAATTTACTAGTATTGTCTTTTTGGAAAGGTGAGTTTTGGTTGCAAGAGAATGATCATATTCTTTATTGCACTTGTAATTGACTTGTGTATGATCAAATTTTACCCTTGTTTACTTGTAGTCCCGAATGCAAAAAGGTGGTTATGAGTGTGGCTACTATGTTATGAGACATATGGCTACTATTGTTTCTGCTGGTATTGTTGATTCTTGGATGAAGGTGAAGTTTTAGCTTACTTGTTCCCATGTACTTGTCATTTTATTGTTACTGTACATGTTATTTCTTTTACTTCATGATTTTTGTATTTATTCATTTAGTTTCGTTATTTAATTTGTAGGCATTCAACGTTCAAGAGTCATTCACTGATCAAGAAATCAACGAGACACGAGAGCGTTGGGCGTCATTTTTCTGCGAAGCTACGAATATTTGATATAATTTTTAGACTCTTAGCTAGTTTTTGATGAGTCTTGTGAACTCGTAGTTTTAGTGAACTCAAAGTTAGTTTTTGATGAATGTTGTGAACTCATACCTAGTTTTTGCTGAATATTTTTGGATCTTTTGGATCAAGACAATGTGAATGTGGAATTTTATTCGTTATGAGTAATTGTGTTTACTGTTGTGATAAATGATATTATGATGATATGTTATGATAATTGGGTATGAATTAAATGTCAGGAAGACATTTCATATGGGTTGGTTAATCCCATATTAAAGAGCTACAATAACGGTTAATGAATAACTGCTATTGAAATTTTCAATAACGGTTCTGTATTAACCCTTATTAAATGTGTTGGACTTTTAATGTGCCGCACCGGAACCCTTATTAAAAGCCCAATTCAACCGTTATTGAAAAAACTTTCACAACGGTTCGTTAACCCATATTAAAAGTACCGGACTTTTAATAGGTGCTGCAACAATAATGGTTCTGAACCGTTATTAAAAGTCCGTTATAACCGTTATTAAATGCATATTTTCCACTAGTGGTGACTAGTGTGTAATGTCAACTCAAAAAATAAATGGTAACATGTTTTTAGTTCTTCAAGCCCAATTTTTAAATTAAAAATAATACCTAACATACACATTTACTAACATAGATTTTTATCCCACTTTGTATATCTACATATGAGTATCTCACAGCTAGAACACATGATTTTGAATAAACTAATTCATTTTTGCTTTGTTTTAAATTAAAATTTCAAATTTTGCTAAACCTAACTAAAATCTAATACGTAGTAGCTTTTAGCTTGTGATGAACAACAATTAACTTTTAAAATGTTAATATTTTGGTGCATGATACTTTAGAAATGCTAATATATATTAATTACAAATGATTATTTTTTGTTAGTTTGGGACGTCTCGAACCGTCCCGAACCGTTCCGAACCATCCCGGTCCCGATTTAAATGGGACAAGACTAGGACAAAGGCTTGTCCCGTCCCGTCCCGTCCCGTTATTATTAATTGGGACGGGACCGGGATAACCCTAATCCCGAACCGTCCCGACCCATGCCCACCCCTACTCCCAGTACATTTTTTCAAAAGTATGCATTTCATCCATTTGAACTTGAGCATCAAGGCTAATTGCACTTTATACTCTCAGTACATTCTTTTCAAAAGTATGCATTCCATCCCCAACTCATATGAATTACAATTGCTTTTGTCGAGAAAAAAGAGATAAAGTTTCATGTTTGCAATGCTCTTGGATTCAAGAAGTTGTACTCTAGAATAGTGACTTGCAATAAAACAATGACTAGAGAAGTGAATTCCCAATATTTGATACCTGAAAAGTTTTATTGTCTAATTTGAAATCAATCTAGTTAAATAAGAAAGGTCAACTATTAAAATCATATCTCTTACAGAGTACTAATAAAACAATGATGAGAGAAGTAAATGAAAGTTGATCTATATTACGTGTCTAATTCAAGTTGCATTTTACTTTGCAGACAATTGTAGCAATATTGTTGTACCATGTGGGGTTGTATAGCTTGGATCCATGGAGAAAAATATTTTCATCTACTCCCTCCATCTCAATTTAATTTGCAAAATTTCCTAATTTGGTTCTCCCAAAATGATTTTCCACTTACTATTTTAGGCATGTAATTGAAAACAAAGTAACAAGTTTACCCTTAATTTTACTTTTTTTCCATTAACTTGAAGGCACCTACTTTTAAGAAGATGGACAAAATTGTATAAAGCAAGCATCATTTAGTGTCATTCCTTAATTCTTGTGTCAATTCAATTCGGGACGGAGTGAGTACGAGTTTTCATATAACTCTTACTTGACCATTAATTCTATTAAGATATGAATTGTTCTTTTTCCTTATACCTCTTGCAGCTTCCATAGATGAAATTTCTCACATGAATAAAAAAAACTTTGTAGGAGTTATGTTAGATATATTGACCCTATACTCTCCTTTTATTCTTTTAGAGTTAACCTGTTGATTGGATCCTTTTCTAATGCCTTCATATTTAGAAAGTTCAAATGCAAAAGTCCCTCGACCCGTGAGAATGGGTCACCAAAACTCTAAATGTTAAATCACATTTTATACATGATGATCTTTAGTTCTTTACTCTCATACTTAACACCGAGTTTTCAAAATAATACAATTCACGAGGGGAACTGGACATCTTCATGGGTAATTTCATAATTTGGGTGCCCCGTGCAACGCACGGGTGAAAGACTAGTTTTTAAGTGTGGTAGCAATTTGGACTTCTCCCGTTGGAAATAAAATAGTTAATTGAGATAATTATCCCAGACATGACTAAAACTCAATGAGTTTCTCAATCTATGACCTAACTAGTCTTTTCCCCAAAATAATATTAATATTTATAATATTTAATTAAAATTCGGAATTAATAAATAATAAATATTTTTTATGGACAAATATACCCTTTAATTTATACCTATAAAACTCTAACCTCCTGCCCATTTTCTTCAACCCTAGCCACAGCCTCCCACCGTCCACCCATGCAGCAGCCCCGCCGTCCGACCGCCATCCACCGTCTAGCATCGCCCATCGTCCAGCGCCACCTCCTTCCAAGTACTCTGGCCTGGGAGCACAGTCGGCGATCCAGAACCCCGGACTGGGGCAGGTGCCCGCCCGACCAGAGTGCCAAGGCGCCGTTCGAAGTCGATCCGCTGCTCGCCGTCCAACCGTCACTCGCCGTACAACCTCCGTCCAGACATCCGGTCTGGGAGCAAAGCCGCCGTCCAGATCTGGCAAACGAGGCGGTGCAAACGAGGCGTGCAGATCGTCCCATAGCTTCCTCTATGTCTTCAACGTCCGCCATCCTCATCCCCTTTCCACTTGAGAGCGCAAGATTTATCGGTCTTCAATTTAGGGAAAAAAAGAAGAAGCTAAAGCTTATTTAGCTCCTTCCCTTTCACTGGCCGCGCTAGGAGTAGCAGGTACTAGGAGGCTAGGAGCAGGCTTTTCGTTATAGGGTGTAATAGGGTTAGAATTTAGAAATGCTATTTTTTGCATAATTGTACTCCGTATCATATACTCCATATTACAAAATTCGATCAATCACTTTTTTTTTGTTTTCAAGTTGATTCAATAACTCATGTTTTCATTTCCGAATTGACTGACTTAGTTTCAAAAAGATGTTTGAAGAAAGTTTGTTACATTTAGAGTTTGTAAGCATTAAGTATGGGCATTGAATATTAACAGTGAGCATGATAATAAGTGTTGAGTAATATATATATATGGCAATGAATCAATGCATTAATGGAATTTGTTATACAATCATTATGATCAATAGTGCAATAATACATAGCACTAATTAGAAATAAAATAATAAAATTATTAAATCTAAAAAATAAATAATAAAAACTATGAACAAATTTCTAAAATGAATGAGAAGAGAATTAATTTTGGAAGAAGTGCAGCGATTATTATCGCATGTGCAGTAATGTTGCGCAGTAATCTTGTGCAGTAATGACAATGTAAAATGTTGTAATTTTAATTGAGCGAAATTAGTGCGAAATACACATATTTTAAATAAGGGTATTTTAGTCATTCAACATTTAAATATAAACGAATTTTCTATTTATTTTTGGATTTTTGGTCATACAAAGGTATAAAAACTAGTTAGGTCATAGATTGAGAAACTCGTTAAGTTTTAGTCATATCCCGGTAAATTTCCCTAGTTAATTTGGCTTGGGAAGATCTTTCAATTGATTTATTAACTTTGGTTTAGCTTTTGTGGCCAAAAACGGGTCCGGAATTGTTGCTAAAGCAGAGCAAAAATCAAAGTTTGTCGCCCACATAGTGTGTGCACTTCTCCCGTTGGAAATAAAATAGTTAATTTGGCTTGGGAAGATCTTTGAATTGATTTATTAACTTTGGTTTAGCTTTTGTGGCCAAAAACGGGTCCGGAATTGTTGCTAAAGCAGAGCAAAAATCAAAGTTTGTCGCCCAAATAGTGTGTGCACTACCATGCGTAGCGACTCACTAGCGAGTAACTCTCTCCCTGGTGCACACGGCCGTCCACATGGAGTGTGCACAACCGCGTGCGTGACTGCTTCCTGTATCTGGCCTAGACATGACCGTATGCATGACCGTGTGTGCGCATTTTTCAACCCAAAAATCCAAAATTTGACTCGTCAGTATAAATAAACTCCTTTTCTTTTGGACTGAAATTTGCTGGTCTGGTCTGGTCTGGTCTGTTTAAGTCTGGTCTGGTCTGTTTAAGTCTGGTCTGGTCTGGTCTGGTCTGAACTGGTTTGGTCTGGTCTGGTAAACGTCTGGTCTCTGTGTATTTTATAACTACGGAAGTCTGGTCTGGTCTGTTTAAGTCTGGTCTGGTCTGATCTGGTCTGTTTAAGTCTGGTCTGGTCTGGTCTGTTTAAGTCTGGTCTGGTCTGGTCTGGGACTGAAAACAGTCCAAAAGAAAACATCCTAACTCCGAATTTCTTTAGTCTTGGAACCCAAGAGCCCAAGAGCTATTTTTTCCAGGTAATTCAATCTTGATCTCTCTCAAGTGAGTTTTAAAACCAAGAATTCATCTATGCACATTAATCTTCGCTAAGTGCATTTCTACCCAAATTTGGCGATTTCTTCAATTTCTTTCAATTAAATTATAATCTCCAGCACACCACATATTCTTAGATTCAAACTTGTGATCTCTCGAGCTAGGATTTTCATGTGTAATTTATGCTAGGCATTAATAATTACAGATGTCAATCAAAATTACTATTTTTGTCATATCATGTATCAATTAGGGTTTGAGTTATGAAATTTATGTGTAATTCGGCTATGTTGGACTTATATGAGTATGATATGATTTTTTGGGAATTTCAAATTGATTGAATTTTGAGTAAATTAATAATTTTAATTTACTATAGCCAAACCAATATTGTGGAGATTATCTTGAGACAAATTATATATTTTTAAATGTATAATTTGGAATATATATATATATATATATATATATATATATTCCGGAGTTAGAACTATCCTAATTGGTTATATGTAATATGGTACTATTTTGAGACTAGTTTCGGGTTAAACCCTAATTTGTGAACTGTGACTTTGAATTGAGCATTTTGAGGAAGCATTTGAGACTGAGCTCAAATTAGTTTTGATTAAACTATGAAAATGATATC